ACATCTTCTTCGCTCGAATCACCATCATTACAATGCTTAGAAACAAGCCAGGAAGGGCAACTCTTTTTAAATTTCTGTTTCGCTGACACAGCTTTAGCAGAAATCTCTCTGTAGTCGTTTTCATCGACAATACGAATAGCAATATCGCTCTCTGCGTCTCCCGCCATTTTGTTCTGCGTCAATTCGTGAAGGACGCATAGCTCTGAGCATGGGTCATCCATGCAGAACACATTTGTGCTATGTGATTGGCTGTTGTCTAATCCCTCTCGGGATCTGTGGTCTTAAAAATAACTCGAGACAAATTACCTATGGAATAGGGTGTGTATGGGGGATGCCTTCTCTGTCCCCTTTATCCTCTCTTGGCAACATAATATAATCATATGCTTAGGAAAATTCCAGTTTATTGGACTTAGAACTAAAAGTACCATGTGTTCCTTCATTTTCAATGCAGGTATAGCTCCTTATTATTTCCTAAACACGAGTTATTTGAACTGCAACTGGTGAAACGTCAACTTCCACAAAATTCTGAGAATGTTTTAACTGATAGTGTTTTTTTGCAGATAGCTCTCCCGAATAATTTTCATTCCTTTCGCAAACATTAGTGTCAATCGTCACTTCGTGAGGATGGTTAATTGTTAAGTGTTATTACGTCATAGCTATTATATAAGCATTGTACATTATGAATCAGTCAGTCATAATCTCTTGTAACGCGGTCAAGCTTAATTTCGTTATCGACCAAGCTCTTTCTTCATCATGGCTCAATCAAATCCTCAAGCTTCTTACACAGATCCCCAACAACCTAGGCGTTCATCTAGACTGACAAAGCCAGCATACAGGGATCCTAACTTCATATACGAGGATCTCCAACGCCAACTAGATAATTTCGAAGACGTGGACGAACGCTACCTTTTACCCTCACCTTCGCTATTTTCTGATTTACAAGATCATGATAGAAAAGAAACAAAAAGGAAAGTGAAGCGCGCGTCTTCAAAGCAACCTACAAAAGTATCAGATCCTGGTCGCCAGTTTGCGGAGCTACAAAGCAAGCTTCATGACCTCAATCTTTACGATCTAGGTCAAGACGTTCTCACTTCTACAGACCAGAAACGAGGCAAGATTACACAGTCTACAAGCACTCATCATCAGCTCTCACAACCATCAGCTTCTCCCGAGCGAGACCTTCAACAGGAGATTCGTCTGGCGGAGCTACAAAAAGAGAAGCTTGCTTTAGAGCTTCAAGTTTTACGTCTGCGCTACGCCCCCAGTTCTACTTCCGATGGCGAACCTGGCGAGAAAACAAGTTCATCTGTGTCTGCTGGAGCGATTAGGAAGAAGAGTGCTGTCGACTGGCCACACGAGTTTGCCCCAGGTACTAGCAATAGTATCGATTCTGATAAGATCGATTTACCACAGTTTGTAGCGGGTTTTTTAGCGATGATCAAAATTTATGATATTGCTAAGAAATGCGCCATGCTTGACTATCTCGAGTTGTTGATGCTCAAGGCCTCAAGTTACTCCTGGTCAAGTGTGCGTTCTTTTCATTCGCACATTGCAAAGCAGATTGAGTTATGGCGTCTGGAATGGACGAGCTCTAGCGAGATTCGGGACAAAGCAGTTACCTTTTTCAAGCATTCCGATCTTCGCTCTTCTCAGTACAGTTCCAACGTCAACCCGGTATCTTCTTCCATTCAGGCGTCTTCATATCAACAGCGTCCACCAGCAAAACCCGAAGCAGAAAAATCCTGTCGTCAATGGAACTACTACGGCTCGTCTTCTTGTGACAAATCAAACCAAGATGTCTTCAATGCCCGTCACAAATGTCGCCTCTGTACCAAGGAGCATCCAATGTTACACTGCCCGAAAAGGAGAAATCCTATTCCGCCTCCGCAAAATCCACTTTGACTACATGACATTGCACAACAATCAACTCAGGTCGTTTTGGACACGGACAGTTTTACGGCTGACGCTTTCTCGACTTCCCACTCGGATAGTTTGGCCTCGGTTTCACCGATCATGAAACATATTTTAGCCTCAAACCATGACTTGCCTAACGTGTTTGGGGCAAAGGTCCCCGTGGATACGCCCCTCAATGTCGCGGCTTGGGATTCCAGATTACGGGACTATCACGACGAAAACGTCGTGAAAACCGGAACGCATTTTCATGTCGCGTTTATTGAACAGTCTACGTGCTTTTCCATCAACACGCGTCCGACTTCCGGTTTCAGCGGACATGAAAGCTGACATAGCTTGGTGGCTGGCTTTCCTACCAATTTTCAATGGCACTTCACTCATCAAACCTCAACAGTGGGAATTTGA